TCTACGATTTTAGGTGTATAATTTTCTTTTGATATTTTTTCTTTACTACAGATTACCAGTTCACTCTAAGTTACAGCAAAATGGTTTGGCAATGAATATGTAAGAGGGTTTTGACTTTTAAAAAATATTCCAAAAACAGGCATCAGTGATAAAAATGAATAACCTTCCCTCCTCGTAAGTGATGATCAACCATTAAGAAGTCTAGATGCTGACCTTCCTGCTGAATGAGGTATAGAGAAATCAGTTACAACTTAAAGCATATGAATTAATAGTTGTAAATATTTGATATTATATTGAAGTATGAGACTAAAATATACTGTTTTTTGACAGTATTATTTTCTTCCAAACACTTTTATTCTGTTCATTTAGTTAGTTTAGAAGGAGCCCAAAGTTTTGACATTCAAAGAACTAGGTAAATATCATCTCTACTTTTAATATTTCATTATACAAACAGAATAAAAAAATTATAAAGATTAGTATATATATGTCAAAGTCAGCAAGTAATATTTTTACACTTTTTTGCAATTCTATAGCATACAGTTGAACTTCATGTTATTTCAGTAATGTAAATTTGGCAATTTATACTTGGCAAATGTGTTTCAATAAAAATATATGCAAGAAAAATAAAGTACAATTGTTGTCAAATGAGCATGGTTTTAAAACCATGTTTGTATCCTATCTCAGATTCTTATGTCATTTGCTTTATTGTGTAATTTCGATCTTCATTGTTATAGTTGTGTCTAAGTCTCTAACTTCATGGTTTTATAAAACATTTTACATACAGCTTTCCTGGAATGAAGAAAAAACTACTAGTTATTCAGATGAGGCTTAACTTTGAAGGAGAGTTTGAAAGGCCAAAATGTATAAAGCAAAAGCTGTGGGCAAATGTAGTCAATGTACTTGGGAAGACTGGAAGTTTCAGTGTCACTGGCCCCATAACATGAAACTGAGGAACAAAACGTGCACTTATAGAAAGAAGAAAGACAAATAGAACACTAGTGGAAAAAGTGCAATAAAGTGGAATTTTATTTCCATTATTGATGCTACATTACGATGTAAAGCAAGTATGACCCCTGCAGAAATTCTGGCATCATCAATAGCTCAACAAACAAGAATTAGTCAGTCCAAATTAGAGGAATCACTTGGGCAATCTAGGCCAAAAGAAAATAACACCAGTAACATCTGAAATTCTTGTTTCTGCTAGAAGGGCTATAAAACAGCACTATCCAACTCAAAAGAGCCATTGACAAGTTCTAAAAATATATAGAAAACAGAAAAATAGAATAAGAAAGGAAAGAAGCCAGTTGAAACTATTTTTTTAAGGAAAGTAACATTTATAGTTTTGTCCACACCTCTTTTAATCCTTTCCTATTAAAGTGCATTTTTTATCTTTTTTTTTTAATGTTCTTAGAACAGATTGTGATAAAGAAAACAAGTTATATCCTGTAAAAATTAGAAATTCGGAAAATGTTTTATTAAAGGCCTCTTCAGGCTTAAGAATGTGTAATTGACTTTGTCTTAAGTATGCAGTTTCAGCAATAAAAAAATATTTACTAAACAGTTGTATGTTAACTGCATCACCACCCACCACCAACTCTTTTACCAACTAATACTGGGATTGACCGTCACATTATAATGCCCCCACGGCTGGAAGGGCGAGCATGTTTGGTGGGACGGGGATTCGAACCCACGACCCTCAGATTGCGAATCGAGCGCCTTATCCACCTGGCCACTGTCCCTATCTACTACCTAGCGAAACCACAGCCAATGGTAAAGAAACCATTCAGTATTAGAACTATTAATTTACTGTAAACGATACCCTGTATCTGATTGGGTAATTTTCTTTTCATCTAATACTATGAAATTATAAAAAAATATGCAATGCAGTGTTGAAGATGAACATTTGTTTCCTTATACCTTATAATTCCCATTGTGTAATGTAAACTGTTTTGTAATTTAGTAATGTATGGGAAATTATATGAAAATATATGCTTTCATTGAGAAGTGTGATATTTCAAATCAAATATATCCACAATGAAAATAGACAAGGTTTAATATAATTTTAATATGCACACACACAAAAAAAGGTTTGCACCATACATAAGCATCTCTATAATTTTTAATAATTCCAAGCTATTAGTCCATTTTAAGAATGTCTGTAATTTCATCTCTTTTGTTTGCAGCTACTGTAAATGGATCATTGTTAGAATCAATACCAACGTCGTTTGTATCATTGTCAAATTCTGGTGCTTTATCATTATTTTCAATATATATATTGTGAAGAACACAACATGCAACAATTACTCAACAAGCCATTTCTATCTTGAGCATACCTAAATACTTCAATCTTCTAAATCTCCTCTTCAGTAGTCAAAATTCTTGTTGAATAACTATACATTCAGAGCTTGAAGCATAGTTAATATGTTTATGTTTACCTATTAAGTTACCATCAAGAATGTTGACTAGAGATAAGAAACATTCCCAATCGGATGTGTATTTTGCCTTAAAATTGTACTTCCATTATGGAACAGTTATTGGGCTTTTTTTCCATACCCTGGAATCATTAGAAGAACCTAGCTATTCTGCAAAAACATCAGTGAACCTTTTATTTGCATTACATATAGCATGTAAAATTATCAAACTGTAACCTTTTTGGTTATAGTAACTTGAATTATTCTCTGTAGATGCCTTAACTGCAATGTGAGTTCCATCAGTGGCTCCAGTAACATTGGGGAATTTAATTCTTCCAAGTGTATCAAAGTCACTTAAAATGTGACATAGAACATTCTGTTGACCAAATGATGAATATTTTAGTAAAATGAGAAACATTCTTACAAAAACTAACTAAAATTCTGTGTGCATAGCCCATACCAACTCCAAAATGATCTGTCACTACACAGAAAGACTTGATTAGCTAAAAGCCAAAGAGCCACCAACACTTCTTTTTCAAATGATACTTTTGATCTCCCTCTATGTGTTGAGTAAGTGGAAATCAGTTTATTATATGCTATAAAAAAACGAAATACCTATAAGATCAGTATAGTAAAAATACCTTTATAACCAGAGGGCTTATACCATCTTCATCCCAACACTATGCATTTAATGAAAAACATATTATTAGTATATCAAAGTAATAGTTATCAGTACATGAACTTTCTAAGTATACAGATGTTTTATGAACGTAAGATGCTTCTTAACCTAACATGTCAGCATGGTTAGTATACAGGTTTAACTTGAGTGGGGTCATATTGACTCCATGCTGGCATTCTAGGGTTAATCACACAGATACTTTAATTGTTCTAAGTATTTATATAAAAGTATCTCAAGTTCTACTCTTAAGAATTTCATTAATTGCTGATAAGTAATAACATCAGCTTCAGCAGAAGACATTTGAAGGCATTCTAGGGTTAATCACACAGATACTTTAATTGTTCTAAGTATTTATATAAAAGTATCTCAAGTTCTACTCTTAAGAATTTCATTAATTGCTGATAAGTAATAACATCAGCTTCAGCAGAAGACATTTGAAGTCAAGATCTAGCAAAATGGCCAGATTTGTTTGAAAACCTTACTATCTGTGAAACAGTAAGATTGCACCCAAAAGAATAAATAATTTTTCTTTCCCAACTAATAAAAAATAATAGATGATTTACTGTAAACAATTACTATAGGAAATGCATAAATGGTGAAAAATATATGCAAACGTGGCTTATTTATTCAGTTTCTCGAGATGCACTATTTTGCTATTGCTGCAAGATATATGAAAATAAAATAACACAACTTAAAAGCACAGGGATTTCTGCTTGAGGTGACATGTCTAAGACATTTACTTTAAGCTGTATTACACAGCATGGATTGGCTGACACATACCCAAATATATCCGTAGCATCACATATACTTCTCACCATGCCTGACACAGTTCTTTCTGCTCTCTTTCTCAAAGCTAAAACTTATAAAAACATACTTGTGTACCACCATGTCACAAGAACGATTATGTAATTTGGCCATAGTCTCTATTGAACACCAGCTTGGACAAAAACTTAATTACAGTAAAGTTATAGACTCTTTATTGCAGCGAAGAAGATTAGAAAAAATTATTTTAGGTAATTATATTTTGATACCAATTGGTTTAAATTAATGTATATAATTTGCATTTTGAATTGCTAACTTCAAAGGAAATATATATATATATTGCTGTTTCATAGAAAATTGTTTATGAAAATTTACTTCAAAAATATAATATTGGTGATAGACTTTTAAGTGTTATATAAACAGAGAATTGCTTGAGAACCAATATTTCATTTTAATGACCCTTTATTTTTGATTGTTAATGTTTGGTTGAGGCCTTCAACCCCAAATTTGCAGAGGGCCTCCCAAAGGCAAACAGAGGCTCTGCAGAGGAGGTTATCAGAATAGTGCCTGGGGTTGATGGGTCGTTATACGAACAAAGATTAACAACTCTGAAATTATTTTCTCTTGAAAAAAGAAGAGTTAGAAGGGATCTGATTGAGGTGTTTAAGATTATAAAGGGAATTGATAGTGTTGATGCATCATCTTTTTTTCATATTCAACAGTGAGAATAGTAGGACTAAGGGACACAAATATAAATTTTGGCAAGGTAGGAATCATCTCCAGCTAAGACAATTTTATTTTTCTAACACTAACAGGATGGTTGACCTGTGGAATTTGTTACCTTTTGATGTTTTGGAGGCAGTAAATTTAAGTGAGTTTATGAGAAAGCTTGATAACTATATCAATGATAAGGGCTGGCTTTAAGATTTTTTAAAAAATTTATTTATTTAATAGTTTTAGTTTAGCTTAGAAGTAAGAGTATAGGACAGCTGAGATAGATCAATAGCTCCCTTGTTGCCCCTAAACATTATGTATTATTTAACCTCTGAAATTCGGAGTGAAATATGTTAAAACTAACTCTTTGGTTTTAAATATGTCATTAAAACTGTGAATTTTATTATTATGTAGTAAAATATACATAATACAAATTAAAATACTTATTTTATGCATTGTTTTACAATTGAAGGTACAAGTATAAAAGCAATCAACAGTGATTAACCTTTACTGACGTACAACTAAGTCAAAAGTGTTCCTTGAAGAGAACATCTGAATACAGTAGAATATAGAGAGACAGTTTTGAAGAGCTTTTCTTGCTTCACCCTTTTAATGAGTTGAATAACATCCAGCTATAAAACACTGTAAGGTTTGTCATCCTGTGTAGCATTATCTTCTCTAAAAACATGAATCATTAGAGCACTTACATTTTCACATAACATGAGATCCATAACCACATTAAAAGCTATACCAGCAACTCTTTTTTTGTGTGTGTCTATGTTCATCTTGGAAATATCACAAACACAACAGAGCATTCAAAGATTTACAGCAAGCACTGAACAGACATGGTAGTTCCAACGCTGATGAGTATTGTTGAATTTTGAAAAGTGCCATTTCCTAATGTTTCATTCTACTGCTTTTCAGAAAAAGAAAAGTCAACCTAGAAGCTGCTGTAAGTTTTTATTTATCCTCCTACCAGTCAGCCTGCTTCTTAAGGTTGCATTTCCTGCAATCACTTCAGTGTATATTTAGTTTGACATTAGCTTTATTCACTTTTGATTCACTTCAATGCAATTTTACTTCATCTAATTAGTTTCAGTTTGAACAATGTTAAGCTCAGATATTCAGCTTGTAGAAATGTGAAATTCAATATAAGAAAAAAACATTTAGTTTTATTTGTTGAATTTGTATGGCTATTTCCTTCTGCACTTGTTCTAACACTAAAATTCATACAATAAATCCTCAAACCTTTCATTATGTAGGGGTGTCTTACCTGTGTTAATTTTTTCAAATAGTACAAGCAATATAGTTTTTAAATTATATAAACATTTCATAACAAACATGAAACGTTTAAAATTATAAAAAAAAATCAATTCTAAACAGTGCATTGTCAATGAAATAAATTGCTAAGAATGATTGGTACATTACAACTATAAATAGTGGTTTCCAAACAATTACAAAGTAATTTCCTGCATATTAATTAACCAAGCATGTTGCAGTTACACCCATATAGATAACTAAATCTCCAAAAGTAAATTTATATAACAAATAGTTTCAAAATTTAAGTGAACATATAATCATTTAAAACCTTGTATTTAATTTAAACTTTGGTTAATTTTTTTCTTTTATTCTGTGCTTTTCTCTCACTTCAACAGATATATACCTTATCTGGATAGACAAGATTTATGCAATCAGTATCCACGAAAAGTCATTTGTCAGTATAAAAGCCAACAAATACATTAATACAAGTTAAACATAATTCATGGTGCTACCTGAAGGTTAATTGCATTCTTTCATTATCATCTATTATAACTATTTTGATGACCATAATTATACACAATTTCCCAACACTGTAACTTCTATTGCAATAAGCTTATCAGAAGAATATGGTAAGATTAATCTCAGACCATACAGTTTTATAATCTTTCCATAGTATGATATTTCATGAATTTAAAATTTTTGTTATTTTGTTAATGGTGCCAAGTGATATATGCATCTTTATTGCAGTGTATTTTGAGGTTTGAAAAGTTTAATTTTGTAAACATAGCCTTCACTTTGTGGACAAGGACATTGCTCCAGATTACTTTAGGTTGTGGTTATGGAGCTTGTTGCTGTTGTAAATGCTTTACAGAATGAATTTGTTTTCTTCCTTGGATAATCTTGAAGGCACCATTCTTTGAAATGTTGCAGCCTTTAACTCTACATTGTTTAACAATTTTATTATGTGAGTAACCTGTTATAAATCACCCTAACAGCATTGTGTATTGTCAAACATCTGAAATTTGCCACAAATCAAATACATTGGTATTATACAAGTCATGTGTAGTATGTACCATGAAATTGCAGTGACATATTCCAGTTACTCTTATATCATGCAATTAATCCTCTGTAATGTCACATGTTAAATTTTATGAAAACTTGAAAAGTATGTGATACGATTTTTTACTGCTCATTATTTTAATCAATTTGTTAACATGAAAGTGGAAGCCAGGCACCTCAGATTAGATATAAATTATACACCTAGGTCATAGGATAACATCACAATCTGGGTACTACTTTTCAGGAAAACATAATATACATCATGTTTATGTGCATAAGTTACAGCAATGAAATATTTTTTGTGAAGCCCATATTATTTTATTTCTTAGGTACTTTTTTTATTATTTTTTAATGTTTCTACAATTTGCTTAAAACTACAATAATTTTAGAGCAACAAACATAAGCTGATGTACTTAATGAGATTAATTAGTACTTGAGATAAACTATGTAATAAATGTTCAGTCATCAATAACAGCAAACACTTCATCTCCAACATGAACTTCTCCTTTCTTTTCCAACCCCAGGCTACAAGCCAGTACAGGAGTATTTCCAAAAGTCTGTTTTTCCTTTTCATCTGATGGCAGTCTGTAACTGAAATATATGAAAAGATAAGTATGTAATGCACTTTCATTATGAATGCTTAAAACATTCTCACATTCCTCAAATAATAAGTAAAACTAACATTTTAGATTTTTTTCTTACAAGGTAGAATGACGTTACTTATGTGTATGTACTTTCATAATATGCTCACACTCATTAAAGAAAAGCAGAAAAACTCCAAAAAGTTTGTAATAACCTGTTGTAACTGCAAACACTTAACCATAAGTGAACGTATAATTATTAATTTATTGAGATCTGAAACTTAAAACAGAATTTCAGACTTAAATACAGTTGCCCAAGGAAACAACTGTTAATCAATTATCCAAGTATGTCACATAAAAGGTTTCTAAATCTGTCTTTTTCTAGATATAAATGTGTGAAAAGCAATTTCAGTTCTTTTTGATAATTTAGTTCTTAATAATAAATGAACTGACTATCATTAACTTTTGATCAAAGCAAGCTACCTGAATAATCAGAACTTAGAATTAACCAAGTAATTATTGCAGCCAATACAATATAGCAGCCTAACTAGGAGTATGCATAAAACAAAACTTTTAATGATTAAAATGCATTGATTCATCAGTTGGGTACCTTCATTGTCAGCTATATTTTCAGTCATAATACCAATAATATTTTTCAAGATTTGGCAACCTTGAAAAACCTGAGTTTGTCCTAAATCCATAGACTATGTTCATGAGATTGTAATACAATGTTGTGTGACTATACTACACAAACAAGGACCATCCTTTATATTATGATTTAGTTATAATCCACAATTACTAATTAGGTTACATTTCTTTTCAAGTATTTTACATTAAAAAGATTTCAATTCATACTTTTTATTTAACATTTTCATTCCATTTCAAAGGAATACTTAGTTAACCTACAAATAACAATTTATTATTTGAAAGATAAAAACATTTATGCGTAACTTCTTTATTGTATTTAAAATTGTTTTTAATAAGATAGTTTATGATATGCTTCCATACTACATTCAACATGATGCTATTAATGTTGATTACTTACATTTTCAAAGTTTGAAATGGCTCCTTGTTAGACTTTATACCAGTATATGGGTTGACTGTAGTCATCAAACACCTAAAGTAGAAAGCACTCAAAAACCCCATAAATATTACACATGTATCACCATAATAAGAGGCCTAATTGTATTTCTTTGGTTTGCTGTCCTAAGCTGTGCTGATGGGCTTTGAATAGGTGAAATTGCAATACACAGCAGAGTGTGCAACAAATCAAAGAGTGCATTAAGCCTCCGCATCACAGATTAGATTTGAGTTTTACCTTAGGTGAAAATAAAATAAATCTGTAATATAATCATCAAATAGTTGGTCTGTATAATATCAAATAATAAATTAGCACAATGCCATAATATCATTATTCTCACACACTTAAATCAATTTAGGTTACTATACGGTGAATTTAAAAGGACTCAAAATCCCCATACATCTTATATGTGCATCACCATTATACAGGCTTGCTACCTATGCTGTGTTGATGACCCTTGAATAGGTAAAACTGCAGTCCAAAGCAGAGGTTTGGCAAATCACAGTACACATATAAGGCCTCTATGCCAAAGATTATATTTGATAAAAAGAAATCTGTAATATACCCTAGATTAGAAGTTAGTAAAATAACGTTTTGAGGATAAATGTTGCTCATAACTGTTAAAAATCAGATACATTTAAAGTGACTAGTTTTATGGTATTATTATTATTATGTCAGCTATATTCATTCAAAAGAACTCCACTATCAATCTCAGTTATTGTAAAATTGTTACTTACCTCACACACAACTGCTGTGGAATTTCTTGCCCATGCCACAAGCCTTGAACAAATCCCACCACTATACATGTCTGTGTGTATTGCATCAGCTTATGATGTAGCCTTCCACCAATAAAAGGGGGAAACAACTTCCATGTGCAGTAATCCCCATGAGCACTAGCACATGATCACAAGCTCATTCTTTTCCTGTGTTCAGAAGTGTTTTTATTTTGTGCTTCTTGAGTTACTAGATGCTTTGATTGACTGCCTTTATTTAATGCTACATTAGTGTTATTCAGCCAGATGGGACTTGGATTTGCCTTGGGACACCGGTGAAGGCTCCTTCTCCCTCCACTTGTTATTAAAGTATTTGTATCTTATATTACGCATACCTCGTCGACATGTAACTCCCAGCACTGTATTTTTTTGATATCTTTTGCTGTTCTATCACAGTAATTTAACAATAAAACTCCAATGGATGCAATCTTCCACTAGATGCTGCTGCATTTTGTGATTCCCAGTGTCATGGAAGTTGCACCCTACAGGCTTTCTGTAACTCTTTCAGAAAGGAGCTTATCTTGGTAACTGATAATTGTGGGATTCCAGCTCTTTGTGTTGTGGTGAAGTGAGTTAACATTTTCCTTATCTGAAAATGTATTTCAGATAGATATATACTTCTCTGCACTTGGTGCCTTGTCAAGAATGAGCCTATGATCATGTAGTAATGCTCAGGGGTTACTACCAATGGAGACTGTGTCACCTTCCATCTGGTGGAGAGTTACAGTATTATGACGATTATGTCATAGGATGGTACAACACATTTAGATACATACTGAGGTGGAAGTTTCTTCAAGACTTGTGGTATGTGCAAGAAATCTCAGGTAAAGAAAATGTTAAATTTTAAAAAAGAAAGTACAAAGAAATTACAAATTCTTAATATTAAGTTAATTAGAATTAGGTATAATATGAAAACTGATACTGATTCATGTACAATTAATAAAACTGGCAATCTTTAAAAGGTGTCATTTTCAGAAACCCAGGTGTTTTGTTTTGAAAGACTTTCATTATATAAAAATAGTAATATAAAGTACTCTAACTTTTTTACTTTAATAATTTAATTTTGTAGGAAGTTTTCAGCTACTGTATAATACAACCATTTCCAAGATTAACTTATACTTTAGCAGCGACACTTAAAAACATAAATGAAGCAGTGTTTATCATCTTTACAACAGTTTTGATAGGAAATATGCCTCAAAAGAAGAACATATATAAAATTTGGTGAAATTTAAGAGAAAGTAAAAAAAAAGGTATATTGTATAAAAAGTTATTGAAAAATAAAAGTTCTTTAACTCTTTTACTGTCATAGGGACATATATATCTCCCCTTCCTCTAGAGCAGTAGCTGTCACGAGAGTTTGTACCACCTTGAAAAAAAAGGTATCCTTTAAACTTCCAAAAAATTACTAGTTTGTAGTTTGAAATAATTAATAAAATATTAAAACATATGCCTTTTTGTGTTTTATTGTTTCTATAAATGTAGCAGGGAAATAGTTAATGAAACAGGTAATAAGTCACCTTGACATTATCAATCAAATAATAAATAATTAAATAAATGACTGTTATATGCAGATTTTACTTGAAAAGAGGTCCAAAATAAATCCAATGAAGAAGCTAATTTTCCTACTATTTTTTTTTCTGTCATTATCAAAACGACTCATTCTGAAGAGTTGACTACTGTAATGCTAGGCATTTACTAATTTATTTCTTCTTTTCCTTTTCATTCTATGCCTGATGGTCACATAGTCACTTTCTTAGTTAATTATTGATAAGACATGATTCATATATTTACATGTTACTAGTTATTGGCAAAATTGTCCTTAAACAAGTACATAAATATATATACCTACTTTTACCAGGACGTAGCTGGCCTCACAGTACAGTATGGAATATCAAGTACCAAAAATTTATAATCATTACTGACTGAATTTTAGTGAGTACCAAAATTCCAGCAGAAGTTTGCTTCTAGTCATGGTTTTTATTATGGGTTTTTTCTTTACAAGTTATGGGGGCTGGCAGCTAGGATACTAAATGTATATACTAGTCACATAATCTATTATGTGCTTGTGCTGAAATGTCACAACTCTGTAAGTTTTGTTCAGGTTAACTTGCATATTGTTTGGTATTATAGTTTATATTGATGGCTAGTTGGTCAACCCAATAAATAATGTATTAATGAGACCAAGCATATAATTTAAGGGCATGCATCAAGGAACCTATTGGTTCATTTGGGCTATCCCTTTCATGAAACTAAACTTTAAAATAAGAATAAAATACTGCAAGCCACCCCTTATCAATCAAATATTTATTAAGCCTTTATGTAAACTCCCTTAAATTTACTGCATCAACCACATTTCAAGGCAACTGATTCCAAAGACTAACCACCATGTTAGAAAAATAAAACTATCTTAGCTTAAGATAACTCCTACCCCGCCAAAATTTATGCATTCCCTGGTTCTACCATTCTTATCATAAAGTATGAAAAAGATGATGATGCATCAATATATTCAATTCCCTTAACAATCTTAAACACCTCAATCAGTAGCTCTCCTCTGAACCCTTTCCAACAATTTAATGTCCTTCTTAAGGCAAGGGGTCCAATACTCTAAATATGGCCTATCCAGCACAGCTAGATCTAGATTTTGTGGGGCCTAAGGCGTATATGGAACACGGGGCACCCTCGGCCCCTTATATAGGTAATTCTTGCTATGGAAGTTGCTAGGCACTATATTTTGAAATACTGAATGTAGCTATACGTGACTAGCATTTGAAGGAAACTGATAATCAATCTAATTCCTAAAAGTTTATTTTCAAACGTTTGGCTTATTTATTTTCCAAAATAATTTATGCAACTCATAAATTGACACTTGAAATAAATAAACAGTAGTTATGGAATGAAAAATATATCACTGCATACATCAGTAAGTAAAATATATACAAATGTTTAATCTAACTTGTATAACAAGTATTTACATTACTGACATTATTTATTAAACAAGGTTTTTCTCCTCGTTTATGCACTGAAGTCCTTAATCAGATCAGTAAAAATTAGAGTTTTATATGTCATTTTCTATAGATAACATTGTCAGCAATTCCAATCTTTCTTGAAATATGATAGAATGGAAGTAAGTTTTGATAAGCTTACGACAAGAAAAACTTCTTTCTGCCAAAGCAACAGTAACTGGAATAGTCAGAACTATGCAAAGTGCTACATATACTTTTCTATGATAAATTTTCAGGTCCAGCTTATATTGGTATTGGGTGGTATAATCCTGCAAAGCACTATTTTCTTTCTTTATCTCTAATTCATTGATGTCGCATGAACCCTCAGAGCTAACTACAATCATAAAATCTTTGCAATGCTGCAAAGCTCTTCTTTTTCTGTAATAGTGTGAGGTTTTGGCATATCATATAAAAATCCAAAACTTTCTGCATATTTTTCAGAGCCTCAAATTGGGTTTCAGTACTTACACAGATTGTATCAACAATAACATTGGAGTAATGAATCTTGAATGCTTCTTTAGAATCATTAGTGTATTCATCGTCACTTTCATAATTCAACATTTTTTATTTGCTATTTCCCTTTTTTGAATTATTTTTCAATATCTAAACTTTCTGCCAGATTGTTAGCAGTTGAAAGTGCTAACTCAAAGCCTGTTGATCCATATTCACCAATCTAATTAAAAATGTCTTTTACATGCTTTACAATGCTGTGCAAATGCATGTTATTACCTTGCCATAATTTACTGATAGTATTTATATTAATTAAAAGATCATACCTTATAATAAGAGATACTAAAAATCATAAGACATAATCTTATTAATGAGAGAATCATATTCACTATGAAGTTTGGGATTGCCCTTATAATTTGCCAATATTTCCAATAAAACATCACATATCTCTTTGAGATGAAATTGAACAGCTTTCACACTATCTATGTGGCATTCCCATCTAGATTATAAAAGTGGTTTTAGGGTAATATTGACCTTTTCTTTTGATACATACCATTGCTTAAGGATGCTGAAAATAAAATATAAAGCTTTTGAAGTGAACCAAAAAATATTTGAGCCCTTGTACAAGATGAAGCATCATCATTTAAGGTCAAATTCCAACTATGACTACCACTAGGACAGGAGAAAGCTCATGAATTGATTTGAAGTATTCTTGCTTTTACACCATTCTTTTCACCAAGCATATTTGCACCATTATCATAGCCTTGTCCATGACAATCTTTGTTGGATATACAAGACTGTTTAAGAGTTA